AAAGAAATTTAAAATATTAGCCGTTGTGGTTCACGTTCTCCAGACAACGCAGAATTTAGTCATTTCACGTCGTTGATTTACAGCGGACGGCAAAGAAATGTGCTAAGAATTATAAGGCGCCTGCACAGCCATTGTTCTGCTCATTAAGTCTTTTGTTTAACGACGTTCCCGATGCCGTTGGAACAGCTCCAGCGACGAGGTGGTTTTCGATCTAAAAATCCCATCGCTCTGCCACCAAACTAAACAACAGAAAAGAGGAAAATTTCGCAAATCTTCTTGTATCTTTCAGTCGAAATTTTATCCATACAGCCCACTACTAGCCTTGGCACAAAACCCATGCCTCGATATTTTAAGCTCTCAGAATGCGCAGCGACAAAAAGTTGTGCTGGAGGGAAATCGCTGTTTCCTAGCCTCTGTCTGATTGGATACAGTTAAACAATGCACGTTAACGATTCCTTCCCGTGGGTAGGGTGGCATGGGAAAAACCAATACTCACTAGCATAGGCAGTGATGTCAATGGTGCGACACAACCCAGGGACCCTTAAACAGTTACGGCTAAAGACGATGCCTATTCAAATTGCGTCGTCAAATTTTAATACGCGTCGACATACCTGTTTCAATATTCAGTCATAACATATCCCTGAGCCAGGAGTCTGTTGATCGCAGCTTGTTCAGATGAAGAATGAAGGATAGCACTGATTAAGTCACTGCTGGTCGCATCAGGAAATAAAGCCCGCAAACGGGATTCATCTGAAAAAAAACAAACAATGAGGTGCTTACTTTAGATCGAGCTGGGGTTTTCATGTAATTTCCTTGCCGTAAGTCACGCAGCCTAGTTTCAACAGGCGATTGTATACACTGATCGCAGCAAATTTGACCGCCAGGGAAAGTCGCAAGGCGAATTTTGTCGCCGTCTGTTGCGGGCACACTAGGCTATTTTTGCCAATCGCTGGCGATTTTTGACGTTGTCAGATATCTGCGATTTTGTTTTTGCATCGCGGCGATCAGAATCGCTGGGGAAAATCGCAGTCACCGCAGCGGGAACAGGTGACAATTTCGGTAATTC